TATTATTGGAATTATCTTTGTATCTTGGAAGAAATCCCAATAGATTTTCATATTTACATTTAAGTTTTGGAGCTGCAATGTTCAAATTGCAGACCTAAACATTCCTACTGTCTATTTGTCCTCCGTCAATGTTGAGAATGGAGTTAGATGAAAATCAAGATCAGATATGGAAATCTTAGGAGGCTGGAAGCCCTGACTAACTATATATGAATTTATAGTCTAAAACAAAAGTCATGTGATTTCAATCTAAAATTTTCTCAGGAAGAAAGATAGATGACTGACATGACTTGATTCTTATCAGGAGAAGTATGATGTACAAGGCAAGATACCAGTCAAATATGGAAAACTTAGGGGCTGTCTTCTCAATTAACTTATACTGTATATACAAATATATTGAATATACAAATTTCTGATCTAAACTGAAAGAGATTTTTTTAAAATTGAAAGATGATTAAAAATTGCAGCCTAATGTAAATAATTGCTCATTTCATAGTATAATTATTTATCTATCTGTCTTAACAAATTTGACATATTAGTTAATAACATCAATTTATAGTAAATATTAACTGGTATCCATCTAAAAGATTGTCAAATAAAACTCACTAAATTATTATAGTACAGTATTTTTATCTAACTCTACATTTAAGAGAATAATCATAAAGCTGAATTATATCAAAACAAAAATACTGTATATACATGGTTTATGATAAAATTTTGAAACGTGTAATAAAAATATTGATAAACTATAAAATTTGAATATATTTATTAAAAACATTATATTATATTTAATCTTATTCACCACAAGATGATTATAATTAACTTTAATATCAAACATGGATTTAATTAACACAAAAAATTTAATAAATATATAAATAAAATACTGTTTATGAATATATAATAGAATATTTTAAAAAGCTATGAAACTAACAGTAAAACCAAAAACTATATAAACTAAAAACAATAAATTGGAGAAAAGTAACCTATTTTTAACACTTTAAAGATTTAACTTAATGTTTTATGCTAATAAAAACCCAACTGAAAATAAATCTGAAAATATTTTAACAGACTAAATAATCAAAATGGTAAAAGTGTCAGTTTACTACTCTAATGGACTCAACATTAAATTCAGGCAAGCAAAAATCTTAAGGAATTTTTCATGGGCAGCCTGTCCAGATATGTCAATCACTATCTCTCACCACCGTGGTCCACTGATGGTCTGGCCAAGCCTATGAAAGATACAATTAAAATACTTTCTTATCGCCACAGGATGACAAGATTAAAAAATAATTAAAATATTTCTGTTCAGCTTTTCATTGGATGTGTTCTTTGTTTTCTTGCAGTTTCCATTGGTTTCATTAAATAAAATATATTCTTCATATGATAATTATATATGAAATAAACAAATTTGTCTCTCCATGTTAAAATTATTTTATGATGGTGAAATCAGCACTTTAATGCTAACAGAATTATCATTTTAGCTATAATAAAAACAAGTACTTTCAATATCTTCTTCAAGTAAATTTCTTCAATGCTGCCATTAATATGGATTAATATTCAAGTGTATTTCCATAAAATGCAAATCCTTTCAAAGGTGTGTTAGACCTCTATTACAGCTTTTCAGTTGTTATTTAATCAAAAACAAAGCACATTGTAAGTGATGTAAGCAGAAATAGTAAGTCCTCTTGCTGACTTCATTCCCAACACTTGAAAATGGCTATAAAAGAAAATATGGTGCTAAATTAAGAGGTTATTTGTAATCAACAGAAACATCCAAGTGACAGAAAGCTGCTTCTACTTTGACATAATTAACTTTGGCAATTGTAGCAAATTAACTAGTATTGCTTTCAGACAGGGTAGAGCTTATTTGAAACAGAAATTAAATTAAAACAAAATCACTTAAGTTTCCATTACAATTTTTTTGTTTTCTGGCAATATGGAGCTCAGGCCTTATGAGAGCATCACTTCTTTATGTTTGACAAAGTGATTAGCTCTTAATTGATGTCATTTTTTATTTTGTTTTTAAAGCTTCTCACAAGAATAAACAATATGTCATTATTAGAACGACAATATGTCATTTATTGAGATAAAATGGGCATCAAGTTGATTAAACATGATAATGTTTAATCAACTTGATGCCCATTTTATCATTAAAATAGCCATTAACAAACCTACAAAAATCAAAACATCTGTTTCAGTTAAAATTTTTTGAGTCAATTTCAACTCATTTGTTAAAAGTGTGAATCAACTTGTACGAAAAAATTATAATTTATGCATCAGATGCAAGTACAAACAACATTGATATATTTTAAATTCTAAATATCTAAATTCTAAAGATAAATATGCTTTCTTTTTTACTGACTAATTTGTATTGTTCTGAATAGTTTATTTCAGGCCTTTGATATTTGTTTAAATATGGAATATGGTCAAAAATTAATGCATTGAGTTCAGTATAAGTCGAGAATGAGTAAATATACAGTTACAAAAAGCAAGTATCACAATAACTATATACATATACCTGTCTACTGACAAAATTGGTAATCATCTGCCATTTTCTTTCAGGAATAATGGACAATTGAAATGATGTTGTCATCCACCAATTGTCTGTCATCAAATTCCTGTACAAATCCAGGGATAACTCAACCATAGCCATTCACATGAAACTGTTGCTGGCATATGAAAAAGTAACAATTGACTACAGCAGTGTGTCAATATGGCTTGCCAGATTCAGGAATGGTGACTTCAGTATTCATGATAAACTATGTCCTGGAAAACTGACAACTGTAGCAAATGATTGTGATGCTGATATCATTTACCAGTTCATTCAAGAAGACAGGTGCATAACAACAAGGCAATTCATAAACCATAAAGAAATTGTGAAAGGAAGCGAAATGACACTAATTGACAGATTAGAGTACCGAAAATTGTGTGCTCAATGGGTTTCATGGCTACTGACTAATGAGATAATGGCAACTAGAAAAACCAACTATGAGAACTTGTTGGAAAAGTTCAGTGGTGATTGTATTGAGTGATTCACAAAAGAGTGATTCCATATGATGAAACATGGCCATTTCATTATGATACAAAAAAAATGGCAGTTCTTGGAATGAGAACACAACAATTCTCCAAGAACAAAAAAAGCAAGATCCTCATAAGCATCCATGAAATTGATGAACACAGTTTTTTGAGATCAAAACAGGATCATTATTGACTTCCTGGAATAGGACCGCACATCAACAGAGATGATGTTCATCTTAAGATAAGATGATCATCATCTCTGTACATTCGATGATAAAACAAATTTCACGCCAATAAGCTGCCTCGACTTGTTCGATTATGTTATCAACTCAATTTCATATTTATTTTCACATTTTCACTTTGTGGTCCTTCTCTGTTCCTTTTCCATTATTTACATGTATAGGTCATTTCATTGTTATCCACATTTGACATCATCACTTATCACATAATGCCATGACGCTCATATCTGTCCACTACAACTGTCAAGAATTAATGGAATTGGTGCAGCATAGTGACAGCGGGCCAATAGAGAGCAGGGTGCATGATCCTTGCCATAATGCAGTTTATGCACCAATTTTTGTATGTGTGTTAATCAAGCCCAATAGTTTGGCCGAATATACTATTCGTTGCATCACTAATAACAATCAATAAAAATTTTTTGATAAAAATATATAAATCTGACAACTAATAACAAATTTTAAAACTTTGTTGGAAAATAAAATCTAGTTTCAAGAAAAATATTTCAATTAATAAAGACTGCATAATCTTAAATAAAATTTAATTTTACAGGGAGGGATAACTAATATGAGATCAAAGCAAAAGTACAAAAAACAAAAACCTACTTACTCATGCCTCTAACCGGTGTGTAGAAATACAAAAATAAATAATTTTATAAAAATGATTTATTTCTACCGGTTTGTATTTCTACATGCCAGTTAGAGGCACATTACTAACCAGTTTGTATTTCTACACACCAGTTAGAGGCATGAGTAAGTAGATTTTTGTTTATTATACACCCTGGTGTGCACGAAGAAGTTATAAAAAGTTCAAAAATTCTATTTGTTTAAATTATGTAAACTTAACTGTAAACAAATAGAATTTATAAAAGATCTATCACAAAAAAATTATCATTTTCAATTTTGCTTTGATATAGGATAACATCACTAAATTCAGCTTAACAATTAGTTTATGTCAAATATGAAAATAAAAGTATGTAGTCTTTCTTATATATATTGTTGATCAAAATAATAAAATGGATTTCATTGTTTGAAATGCTGCCTAAAAAATTTATTATGAAAAACAAGTAAATAGTATCTAACATTTTGAAATAAAAGGAAACAAAAAAATAAAATTTCACATAAATTATTGTTTCAAACTGATTATAAGATTTTTGCACAAAGATTTCATAAAAAGTAGAAAAATAATGTAAATTCAATTATTATTTAGTAAATATTTAATTTCTTTTTTTGGTATCTTAACATTACTTAAATCAAAATTGAATGAATCAAGACTCTATTGAAGTTTAAATAAAAAATTATTTTACAGTTTTAAATTATATTCAAAAACTGCAAAGAAATAATTTTAGAAATAAAATGTATTTATAATTATAATTTAAAAACAAATGATATTTATAAAAATATGAAAAGAATCTTAGTGTCTGAAATATAAATTTATTAAAATTTTTGATTTGTTCAATAATACAACTGGAAATAAAAATAGTTAAAGATTGTAAATAATATTTTTATATACTTATATATCTGTGAGCAAAACATTGTTATTTAACATTGAATATTTATATATTTGCATTAACTTTTTGAAAATATTCTAAAAAATTTTAAGAAAATATTATGTTAATAATTTTATAAATTTTGATTATAAATATTAATATACCATATTTTGATTGTTATTCAAGACCAAAATATATAATGTCATAGATATTGTATTTTTGGTAATTAAATAGGAAAAAATGACATATAGAGGCTTACCAGTGGCGTATACTTGGACATAACAGAACACTGTGATTGGACGTGTAGACCAACACTGCTCGTCACGCAGCATGCAATAGAAGACAAGGACACACAAGTCAAGACCCAAAAAACAAGCAACATCATACAAAGCCACAAACAGTAAGCAATGAACAAAATGACCAGATTTGAAATCATTCATGACAAAAAAGCTATCTTTTTGCCATGCTGAATTATCAGATATATATATATGTATTAAAGAAATTGTATATTATACATATATAATATCTGAATGTAATGTGTGTAAATATAAATATATATACACACACACACAAATTTNTAGTTAAAGATTGTAAATAATATTTTTATATACTTATATATCTGTGAGCAAAACATTGTTATTTAACATTGAATATTTATATATTTGCATTAACTTTTTGAAAATATTCTAAAAAATTTTAAGAAAATATTATGTTAATAATTTTATAAATTTTGATTATAAATATTAATATACCATATTTTGATTGTTATTCAAGACCAAAATATATAATGTCATAGATATTGTATTTTTGGTAATTAAATAGGAAAAAATGACATATAGAGGCTTACCAGTGGCGTATACTTGGACATAACAGAACACTGTGATTGGACGTGTAGACCAACACTGCTCGTCACGCAGCATGCAATAGAAGACAAGGACACACAAGTCAAGACCCAAAAAACAAGCAACATCATACAAAGCCACAAACAGTAAGCAATGAACAAAATGACCAGATTTGAAATCATTCATGACAAAAAAGCTATCTTTTTGCCATGCTGAATTGGTCCTTCTCTGTTCCTTTTCCATTATTTACATGTATAGGTCATTTCATTGTTATCCACATTTGACATCATCACTTATCACATAATGCCATGACGCTCATATCTGTCCACTACAACTGTCAAGAATTAATGGAATTGGTGCAGCATAGTGACAGCGGGCCAATAGAGAGCAGGGTGCATGATCCTTGCCATAATGCAGTTTATGCACCAATTTTTGTATGTGTGTTAATCAAGCCCAATAGTTTGGCCGAATATACTATTCGTTGCATCACTAATAACAATCAATAAAAATTTTTTGATAAAAATATATAAATCTGACAACTAATAACAAATTTTAAAACTTTGTTGGAAAATAAAATCTAGTTTCAAGAAAAATATTTCAATTAATAAAGACTGCATAATCTTAAATAAAATTTANATAATATATTTCTTTAAACTATGCCGTTAACATTCCAAATATGAATAGATAACAAGTAGCAAATAGGATAACATTTTCAAATATATTTTCATGCAATTCAGAATTAGATTCAAAAATATATTAACATTGTTAGTTTCAAATAAGAACAGAAGAAAAGAGATACCATAAAGCTGTGCTTAATGCTTGATGAAAATTTTTTAAATCTTACAATAATGGATTTATAATTTAAAATATAAAAATGAAGTAATATTTAAACTTTTATATCCAAATATTTATGATTATTTTGATAAGTCATCATTCATTAGACATGATTGATAAACAGCTTAAAAAACCATAGGCCTAGTTGAAATAGGCTCTAGTTTTGAAATGAAATATGCTAGCAAACTAATTTAAAAACTTAAAGCAAAATAATATAAAACTATGAAGTTTATTTGAAGCAGTATAAAAATTAAACATTGTATATTTTTTCTAGCACTAATAATAAATGATATGTAGCTTTAAAACAAATTAGAGATTAATATGAAAATAATTCAAATTTAATGTAAACCAAAGTAAATATGTTCTAAAACTTGCCTGCAAAGTAAATTAACTGATCTTATGAAATTATTTTGATATTGTTTTCTATATTGAAATATTTTCTTATAACCAAACAGTTAATATTATAATAAATAATTTAATAATGCTTTTAATAACAGTTAAAGAATATTAAGTTTCTCTTAATTTTTTATAAAAATTTTACTTTAAGTTGTTGAAACTAAAACAGTTTCTAGTCAAACTGCAATAATTTCTCTGCTTGTGATAGGTTGTGTCAATGGTAAGCTTGGTAGTCTTATAAGTGAATAGAGATTTATAGTATACTATTGTAAAACAGACATTGTGTTTTAAAGATATTGTTGATTTTTGCAATATATTTAAAACAAAATGAAAATATTACTAAATCAGAAAGTAATTTCAACTTTGAAATTTTACAATCTTTACAATTTTTATGTTGAATTTTATATTAAAACATTCCTTGAAAACTGCTTTTAGGAAGTAACTGTGTTATTACATTAGAAACAGAAAAAAATATGTTTTCATAAAAAAACTCAATTTTTAAAAGTTACATGATTAATTATTGTTACTTACTATTCATTAAATATTTACCCATAATTTTTCTAAATTTGTAAAAATTATGACTATATAAGCATACTATATTCACCAGAAAAGTTGTGCACCCAATCAAATAACATTTCAATAACTAAATCTTATTATAGAAACTTAAAATACTATTAAAGTCAGAAGAATCAACCAGTGGCCAAGTGTACAAAACCACTGAATATTGGCAACTTCTCCCAGTTTTACATCTGATCTATGGGCTGGTTGTGTTAAGTTTTCAGGTTAAGGTTTCATACAAGTGTTTAACACAAAAGTAAGGGCCACAGAAAGTCTTTCTAGAAAGTATGTCCTTTGGCAGATAGCCTTCATGTTGCATTGTCTTTTCTCAACAAACAACTATGAAGCCAGAAACCACTTAACTTAAAAATCTGAAGTCTCAAATATTTGTTTCAAACAGAAAATATAAAATTGTGAGTTTAGAGTAGGTAGAGAGGCTTTTTTCAATAAGTCATTAAGGATAAGACTCATTAAAAAGCTTTTAATAAATTACACAAAATGCTTTTCTTCCATTCATTAAATATCTGAGAAATCACTTGTTTCAAAAACATTTGCTTGTGAATTTAAATAATTTAATAAAATTTGTAACATTTGCAGGAACATTTTTTTTTTTTCAAAATGATCATTAGAAACGAATAGAAAATATTTAACATTCTAATTATTGCTGGAATTATAATTAACATAGCATTGGTGCAGTCACTGAGTCACATATTTTATAGTGATGTTTTAATGATTACCAAAAATAAAAAAAATAAGAAATCAGGTTATAATGTTCACATTAATATTTATTTTCACCAGAAAAATGCAGAAAAAATTATTTACATTAATCATCTCATACATTCTAATTGCTTATACAGTAGACCCCTATAAAATGGGTTCATATGATACGGATTCGTATATAACGGCGAAAAAATTGCGATTGTATTCGTATAAACACGCTAAAAGAGACTCATATGATATGGTAAAACATCATTGCCGCCTCGTGTCGTGACAGGATTGGTCGAATCTAGACCAATAGCGGATATTGCACAAACCATTGAGTTTAAACAAGCGGTGGACCTACTAAAAACCATTTATTATTTAATGGTCATAAAAATTATATTTATATTAATGATGTCTCCAAAGTTAAGCAAATTTTTCGCAGAAAAATAATTTATCAGGAAACATGTGCCCACCGTTCAATGCACCACTCCACAACTAAAACAAGCTTAAGCAACAGCGTCGTCGAACGGTGCACACTCGATATGATTTTTTGTTTATAGCATAGTTTATACGGATTATTCCCAAAAAATTATACGTGTTTTGGAAATGTTGAGTCAAATTAGTCTAGAATTGGAAAAAAACCTTATATGTGCTGGGCTGTGATTGTTTCATGTATTTAAGAACTCGTAAAACATGAATTTCATAAAACACGGAACGTATCTATCATGTGATATGGGGATCTACTGTATTTTCACCTTCTGACTGCTTGTTATCTCTTGCAACTCTTGCAAATAATATTACATGCCTCTGAGAAAAGAATTTTTAAGATTTTCCATTTCAGTTACTTTGACAATTTTTTTATGGCATTTTATTCCTTCAATTGTCTTTGTACTAAGTTAGAAAGTATACAAGAAATTTTACAGGCTTTATTTTCTATCATATTATTGAAATTATTATATATCAGTTGTCCAAAAATTCTTACTTCATTTTACAGTACTTTTTACATCATTCTGACCTTATTATGGTTGGTTTGTGGTGAGTATATTAAACATCTCCTCATCACACATTAATAACAAATTTACTTTCTGCACTCTATGCAAAAAAATTTAATTCCAAAACATGAAGTGATTTGATTAATTTATAAAATTCCTTCAAAGCTTTGTTAACTAATAAAAGTTTCAATTTTCCTACTAATTTATATCTATGTAAAAATTGAATTTTTGTCATTTAATGTAACTTCTCTGATTTAACCTTTAAAACAAGGTATAATTTCCATTTTGAAGTAAATTATATCGAAAGATCTTCCCAAGATATTTTTAATAATCTTGAAGATAACAAATCACTTAAAATTACACAAGTTTGGAAGACACAATTTTAAATTACATGAAGAATGTTGGTTTTGAATGACATAAAATAATCTACTTTGAATGCTTGTTAGAAGGCAATATAGCCAGTGGTAATTATAACAAATAATATGGTTCCCAGCAACAGAAAAAATTGCTCCTACTATTAATTGATCAATTTAAAACCTTTTCTTCATGTGGACTTGAAGAAAAGGTTTTGAAAATTTCAATATGAATGATCTCAACAAATAATTAACAAATGATGAGTTAATTAATATGATATCTGAAACCCATCCTGCCTATAAATCTGGCAGTGATTCTGATAAACCCATTTCATTCACTGTACAAAATATTTACATCACTCTTGAATTAGCCAAAAAATTGAAAAGAACAATTTTAAATGTTAAACAAGCTTTGAAAATAAAACAAGACTATAACAACTGTTGCAATGAATATCAAGAAATTTATAAGAACTTGATCAAAAATAATTTTAAAAAAGAAATCATCCAAAAAGAGACAGGCTAATAATGAAACTGAAGTAAAACTATCAAATACAGTAGAACCTTGATTATCCGGACTAATTGGGAATGAAGGTAGTCCGGATAATGAAAAATCCGGATAATCGAAACAAATACTTTAATTTGTCTTTTAATGATAATACAACACGTTTTTTTTTCGATGACATATCGGTAATATTAAAAATAAATACTGTATTTAAATTGTGATCAAATTTTTGAGAAACAAATGTTTTATTGAATTTGGACTACTACTGACCAGCGCTAACAGACTACTTATTGTTTA